ACAGGATTTGGTTTAGCTCCTGGATTTTCCAGAAAGTAGCATGAATTCCTGAGACTCAGAGGTATGGTCTAGTTTTCTGAATTTCTACCAGTATTGACCATTCAGCTTTGCTTTCAGTGTTCTAGAGTTTCTCCAACTTACACCTCCAAACTCTTCCAAATTCATGCAGCAAACTAGTTCCAAAGTTTTCAGAGCCACAAAACCAAGGTTATTCACAGCAATGGGAACGGACTCCCCATATCAATGCCCTGCATTGTGACTTCTCAGTGACACTCATACATGACATAAGCAGACGAAGGGTTTAATTAGGCTCATCAGTTTGAAGATTCAATACTGGCTGCTTGTCTCCACGTGCTTGGACAGATCTTGATAGCCATGGGTTTGCAGGAAAGGAACCTTTTCACATTCTTGCATTGTGTCTTACTTTCTTGTTTGTTGTTGTGAAGAAAAAATATGAGAGAAAAGCAACTAATGGGAGAAAGGGTTTATTTTACATCACAGGTCAAGGTTATAGTCCATCATGATGTGGAAGTCACAGAGGCTGTGGTCACATTGCACCCACAGTCAGCAAACAAAGAACAATGAATGTGTGGTACCCATGGCTCGGGTCCCTTTCTCTGCTTATACAATCCAGGACTGTAGCCAGGGGTTGGTGTCACCCACTCACCATGGCTGAGGAAGACGTGGTGGAAGGGATGGGAGGCTGACTAGTCACATTGCATCTCTAGTTGGCAGAGAATGGACAGGAAGTAGGGTCAGGAACAGGAAGTACAACACCTCAAGGTTTGCCCCCGGTAACCTACTTCCTCAAGGAGACTCACCCACCTAAAGGTTCCAACCCCCCAAACAGCGCCAGGAGAGCAAATGTTCAAACCCACCAGCCTATAGGGAACATTTCACACTCAAAGCACAATAGTCAGGGTGACATACCCTCAAAGGTTACCCTCACCTCCTCCCAGTTACCTAGTGCTAGGCTGCACCTGCTAAAATTACCTCAGCTTCTCAATAAATTGTCACCAGCTGATGTCAAGCCCTAACACAAGAACTTCAGAGGGACATTTCTTGTCCAAACCCACTGCTTATTCTCCCTAACCTTGGAAAAAAAAAAGACAAAAAGCCAGAGCTTTCCCTGAGTCACTGGGCTATTTCAAAGGCTCCTGTGTCTCATAAAACTTTGATTAAATAAATTTGTCACTTTTTCCCCTTGTCAACCTGTCTTCTGTGAGAGGAGTATCAGCCATGATCCTCTGATGGCCGGGGAAGCATTCCTCATCTCCCACCCCTAACATTCTGGATGTAGACTCAGAAAGGATAAAACTACAGTGTCTGCATTTGTCTTTATTGTCGATTCCTTTGCTTACAGAAATCAGTAGCAACATTCCGGTGCCTAAAGGCCTGCACATGATCCCTCCATGATGGCAGCTTCTCTCTAGCTTAATTTAGCTTGCTTGACGGCAGCTTATGGCTTGGAAAGGACACAGCTGGGAGGGAGAGCAGAGGCAGCCATGCTGCCCAGGGAATAAGGCAGGAGAGGAGTTCATTAGTGGATCAGAAAACAGCCGGAGGGGGCAGGCTATAGTCAGGAAAGAAAGAATCCCAAAGGTATTGGGCAGTACCCCTTCAGTACAGGAACCTGATATGCTGATTGCCCCAGCTTCTGCCTGGTTCCTGGGCAATGTCAGTACCAACTATAAACTGGGGCCAACCATAGCTAAAGGCTCTGCAGGGAGCTCTCTGGACATTGGAAAGAAAAAGACTCTCACAATCTGGGCACACCCATGCAGCCCTTAGCTGGGCTGCTGACTTCCTTCTGGAACAAAGCCTCAAGCAAAGGGCCTCGCCTTCATGGACTCAGTTGCAGAATGAAGGCAATGGCATTGAGTAGCCTGGTGGGGACCTTCAGCCACAGGGCTGGTGTTCCAAAGCGACAAAGCACTCCCTGAACAATGTGTCTTCAAAATGCATATCACTGTGCCCGTCAGATAAGCTCAGGAAAGGCTTTGAAACCATCTCCCTGTGGACCTCTGTAAGAAGCCCTCGATTTGCCATGGAAGATTTGGATTGAAAAGCAATTGCCTACCCCCAGGGTGTCATGCTTCAATAGGAAAACCAGTGTGTGTGTGTGTGGGGGGGGTAACGGGTGGAGCCCAGCCCAGCAGCATCTTGCAAAGCCAAACATACCTGGAGCTGCAAAGCAAAGGAACATTTTGCCTCAAGATAAACACATCATCCCTCAGACTTCAATAGCCACTGAAAAGCAAGACAGGAAGACAAAACCATCTTCACCAGGAGACCCCCAACTCTCACACCTCTGAGGCTCAGTGGTCTAAAACCTCCCAGCAAACACAAGCAAGGTTCTCCCCCACAGCCTGTTTAAAGAGTTTAGGCATCTCTCTCATTCATTGCTCACTTTTGCCTCCTGACAATGCCAGCAAGGTAGATTATCAAAGAGTGCTTTAGGTGTTGTGACCTCCAGAGCACCAGAGATACAGAAATTAACAGGAGCCAGGCTTTACCACATGTACAGGCACTACAAATGACAAGACAAGAGAGATGGCCCAATGTGATATAGCCTGCCCTGGTCATGCATGCCTCCCCATGACAGGCTGAGGTCTCTGAAATAGTGAGCCAAAGGCATTCTCTCTTCTCTTGTTTCTGTCAGGCGTTGGTCATGGGTACAGGAAAAGTAATTAATGCCTCTAGAAACTTAGTTCTGATTATTCTCTCTTGATGTTTGTGGCCATTGTTATTTTTGTATGTGTCTGAGTGTGTATGTGCAGGTATGTGTGTGTGAGAGTTTGTATGTATGTTCATGCATGGTGAGAAGGGTGTGCATAGGTATTTGTGTCTGCACAGGGAGACCGCGCGCGCGCGTGTGTGTGTGTGTGTGTGTGTGTGTGTGTGTGTGTGTGTGTGTGTGTGTGTGCATACGGAGCCCAGAAGTCAGCTTCAGCTGCCAGTCCTCCTTGTTTTCTCGAGACAGGGTCTCTTACTGCCCTGAGGTTCACCAATTTGGCAAGGCTGGCAAAGCCAGTGGTACTCCAGTGTCCACATCTCTAGTGCTGGGATTACAAGCTTATACTACCTTGCCCAGCCTTTCATGTGGGTGCTTGGAATTGAACTCAAGTTCTCATGCTCACACAGCAAACACTCTACCCCACTGAGCCATCCCTCCAGCCCACACTGTTGCTGCTGTTGTGTCAGTGGATGAGGAGGTGCAGCCTCCCTGCAGCAGAAATGGAACCTGAGCAGAGACTCCAAGCTGAGCCCTCTCCTCCTGTGAACTCTCTGGATCTTGAGGTAAGTCCCCCGTTTCATATACAGCCCTGATTTTAAGCAGGCATACGTCACATTAAATTTTTAGTCAGTTCTGGAAAGTTATGTGCAATTTCTTTTCTGCTGTAAATCCATGATTCAGATGGCTATATCTATACACATAGTGGCTACACCACAAGACAGAAAGCACGTCTGTCACTACTTCCCAGCTTCCAGGCAATGAGACCTGCTCTCTGATCCCATCATTTTTGTCCTTCCCCAAAAACATCTATCATCTTAAGATCTATGACACTTGTGAATCCAAAGAATGATACAGTCACAGCTTCTCCATAGGGACAATGTTCCTGGACCCTTCAGTGCATACCTGAGACCACAGACAGCATCAAACCTAAGTAAAGCAGCTTTTCTTATGTATACCCACCTGTGACAAAGCCTGATTTATAAATTAGACATGGTCAGAGATTAGCAGCAACACATGCTTTAAAATAAAACAATTATAGCAAAATACTGCCATCTTACCCTTAGGAGGTTCTGCTGGTTTCAGGCTCCTGGAATAGGCTCATGGTTTACTATGGCCTTCCCAGTGCAATGCTGGCTCCCTGAGAATCTGCTAAGTATTTGACAAACTATGCTGCAATTCCAGAGAGAATATTCAGTATCATAAGGGTTCTCCTTAAAGCCTACCCAGCTGAGCTGGCAGGGACCCAGAGTGACTTTGGCACTGCTCATCTTCCCATGGGGACATGTGTTCAAATGCAAGACCAGAGCCAGTCCTCAGACAGCACAGACACAGTGACTCGTTGTTACAGGGCACAGGGTCTGTAATGTAATGGCTCTAATCCTATCCAGGGGCAGGAGACCCTGTGGGTTGGCAGGGGGGATTTCCCCACCCACTCTCCCATCTCATTGAGTTTTGGCAAAGACAAAGGAAGGGGAGCTATGGGATTTGAAAAGTCAAGGTGAGATATAGCATGAGTTGGACAGCAGCTGTAGCCAACTTCTTCCCTTATAGAACTTATGGGACCTGATGGAATACCCAGAAGCCACCAAACAAGGAGCTTGGAAGCATCAGAGGGAAGACATGCAGCCAGGGAGCCCCTCTGGACTTCGGGCAGGAGCAGGATAGAAAGTTGGGAAAGTGAGGGGTGGAGCGAGGGAGCCTTCTCCACTTGTCAGGATTAAGTAATATCATGATCTAATGGAAATGCACACATCAGGCCAAACAACAGGGCTCTGTGCTGTTTGTTTTCCTTTGGTTTCATGAAAAAAGGAACCACAAACATTCATCATGATCTGTTTTTTGGTAAAACTGATACCATTTGTACATTTATGAATGTTTGAATTTATAAATGATACATTATAATCTATAGGCTCAAGAAATACAATGAAATATATATGATATACAGTCTATAAAACAACCTGTGTTATATACGATGCATAGTGTATACTATATACAATTCATTATTAACTTCCTTATTCTAGAATGAATTAGAACAAAGGCACCATCTAAACTAGGATTAAAAAGAAAGCTAATGTTCTAAGCTTTTCTCTTTGCTCTTCTAGGTTTTAAGCTTCAAAAAGTTACATACTATTTTGTTATCACATTAAAGAGTTACATGAAGTTTTGGGAACTTTGTGAGAATCTATAGCACCCCCCCCCCAGTTCTGTTTGTTCTCATCCCCACAACGGACCCCTGACAAAGCCACACATACATAGGACAAACCTCTTTCTGTTGGCCTCCAGCACGGTGTGGTAAGGAGGCTGACTGAGTGTTCCATGCAGGGAGCACCTGCAAGGGGGTCTTCTCCTCTTCGGGATGGGGTCTGGGATGGGCAGCCAGGGTGGCTGTCCAGGTGGCCTCTTCTGTGCTGTCCACCTGCTTCTCATCTTCTGCATGTGGGCTGATGCCTGCTTCCTGGAGCCACAGACTCTGCAGCAGCAGCTGACAAGCCTCCAAGTCGGCTTTCCACACTCTTGCAAGCAGTGGACACCTGCAGCTAAGACAGAGGGAAGCAGTCACGGAAACTAGCCTGGCAATGGCTCATGCTACCCACTGACAGTGTGTCAGTGTCAGGGGGCCATCTTACACTCCACAACATCATTTTATAGAGACAAAACATCAACCCGGAGACTTAGAGGAATCAAAAGCTGTGTGTCTCTAGTCACAGTGATACCCATATGGGTCCTTCTTAGCTGTCTGGTCAGCAAGGACACCCAGAATCCCATTTGTTCTTCCAAGAACAGCTACCTAGTATGGCACATCCGGCCCTCTATTCCTGGTGGATCTCTTACGTCAACAAACCTGCCATCTCTGCCTAATGGCAGACTTCTGCAGGTGCTTTTCTAATACCTGGAATGTCATCCCACTAGGAAATCCTTACCCACTGACACACATATAACCTGGCCCAGGCCAGTAGGGACCTAATGCGACCTGCCATCCCACTCTGCTCAGTAGCGTTCGCGCGCGCATGCGCGCGCACACACACACACACACACACACACACACACACACACACACACACACACGACATTCCAAATGAGTGCTCATTCTCCCTTTCCTTGCTCCCTCCCTCCCTCCTTCCTGCTTGTGAATCAGAGGTAAGCTCTCAGCTGTTCTTCAGCACCTGCCTGCCTGCCTGCTGCCATGCTCCCTGCCATGGTTGGCCATGGACTCACCCTCTGAAACTGTAAGCCAATAAAGTCTTTCTTCTATAGGTTGCTTTGCTCTTGGTGTCTTTCCACAGCAATAGGAAAATAACACAGACATGATTTTATTAGTTGTTTAGAAGAAGCACCGCTTGCTTCATCAATCCTTGGTATTGATTTGTAGTCTTGATCTCATCGGCTTTCGTTCTTATCTCTATATCTTCTTTCTCCGTTCTGTGGATTTATTATCTTACCTTTTATCGATTCTCTTGAGATCCTGCCTCATTTTTCTCCTTCTGACCTTTCTTCTTGCTCTCTTAATGTTCTCATTTGGGTACTTAAAGACGCTATATTTTTGTCTGAGCAATTCTCCAACCATATCCATATATGTACATTTAAATCTTCAAGTATTAAATACACAAAAACCCAGAAAGTTATTTTAAGAGTCTTATGAACTTGCTATCAGACTTGCTGATCTTTAATATTTATTAAGCTGGCATGGGACTGATTTCCAGAATTTATAACTTTACCATCCTGCAGACCTAATGTATAACCTCTGTCTTCCCTCTTGCTTGCCTCTTTAAATGAAGATACTCACTAGAATGCTTTCCAGTTTGGGTCCCAAAGCTGTCAAAGTTCCTCTGTATCTCCTGAGCCGTATGAGCCAGTGGGAATCATGGGATATGGCCAGTGGGAATCATGGGACAAGCTGCAGATCTCTTAAGGCTCAACAACTTTCTACATGTTAACTCCTGGAATGTCATGACAATGAAATATGGTGTGTCTCCTGTCTAAGTGAATGTGAGACTAGTCCTGAGCTAGCTCTAGAACACACTTGCCAAAGACTAGGTGCCAATTTCAGAGGCACAAGCCATTAGGTAATTCAAATATGTGAGTGCTCTTTGTGGGCCATGTGATCATTTCCTCAAAGGTTGGGTTTCTGAGACATCTGCTCCTTGCATTTGTTTGTACCAAAGAGAGTCATGTTTGGTGTGTAAGTGGTGAAATGCCTGCTCTTCTTGGCCAGGAAAGTAATTGGGTCATTAACAAAAATTGGGTCTCTGCTCAAGGTCTGGTGTCCCCACACCAATGAATGACTCAGAGCCACTTGGCTTTGTGAGACCAGGGCTGATTTTGAGCTGTAATGAGGCAGCTTAGAGGTAGAGATGTGAGACCCAGTACTGCTCTTACTTTCTGAAAAGTTAAAGGAGGTGTAAAAGCTCAATCAACCACAACCATGCCATACGCCCGGGAGGACCGAGTGTGGTCATGCTTTGTTGGGGGTGGTGATGGCATGCAGGGATTGGGGGAGGTAGCCTGCCTCTCTACTGAAGAAGTAGAAACATCCTGGATACGGTGGCTCCTGGGTGTAACCCCAGTACTTGTGAGGTGGAGGCAGAAGGATTATAGTGAGTTCAATGCCAGTTCAATGCCAGTTTTGACTACGTAGTGATTTCTGGACTACCCTGGGCTAGAGTGAAATATTGTCTCAAACAAAAACAAAAACAAACTGGGGACCTTGAGTTCTAACATAGATGTCTGCAATCTCAGCCCTTGTCACCAACCCATCTCTCCTGATTTGCTCTCATTTAAAGGAACAGAGCATTTTGTCTTGATCTCTGGGAACTTTGAAAACCATCAGATCCTTTTACAAACCCATGATGGAGGAAAACATCAATCCAGAGAAAAGGGTGATGGTTCTAAACTCTCAGTGGAAGTCACTGATATGTGCACCTGCATTCTTTCTATTTCCTGGGCAACTTAATCTCCAATAGAGAGCAAATGCCATTATTATAAATGTTTAAGTTTTATTCTTTGATTTCTTTTTTATTAATTAAAAAATTATTTTATGAGATAGGCAGATCACTGTGAGTTCGAGACCAGCCTGGTCTACCGAGTGAGTTCCAGGACAGGCTCCAAAACAATACAGAGAAACCCTGTCTCGAAAAACCAAAAAAAATTATTTTATGTGTATGGATGTTTTGTCTACACATATATGTGTGAGCCACATGTGTGCCTGGTGCCAGCAATGGTTACAAAAGGACATCCAATCCCCTTGGCTAGAGTTACAGACAGCAGTGGACTGCCTAGTAAGTGCTGGAGATTGAATCTGGGTCCTCTGTAAAAATATCCAGTACTCTAAACCACTGAGCCATCTCCTTAGCCCCTGTCATTTACTTTCTAAGGAAGAAACTTAAACTTATATTGTGTGTATGTGGACACACATGTAGAGGTCAGAGGTCAACCTCCAGTTCCTTCCTCAGTCACTATGCACCTTGCTTTTTAAGAGTCTCTCACTGAACTGGAGTTTGCCATTTCAGCTATGGCAACTGACTGGCATATCCTAGGGATCTGCCCTTCTCTGCTTCTCCAGTACTGAGACTTCCAGCATGCACCCAGCCTATACTCATCTTTAGAAACATCCTAACAGATGCACCCTGAGGTGTGTGCAGAGTTTTCCTGTCCTGACCACCTGCTCCCAAATAACCTACAGCTGCTTCCCAAGTGACTGACTTGTAGACCTAATGTAAACTATAAATTCTCAACTTATAGCTCAGGCTTGTTATTAACTGGCTCTTACAACTTAACCTATTTCCATTAATCTCTGTGCTGCCCCAAGGCTCAGGCTTTTACCTCTATCCCATTTTGTGTCCAATTCATTCTCCCTCTGACTGGTGACTATTCTGACTCTGCCCTTTCTCTTCCCGTCATTCTCAGTTTGACTCTCCTGCCTAAATCAATCCTGTTCAGCTATTGGCCAGTCAGCTTGTTTATCAAAGCAAATTATATTCACATAGTGTTCCGAAGGATTATTCCACAGCACAGAGGTGTAGTGTAATCTCCTAGTCACTTCTCAGATCCAACCAAATTGACAATCAAGACTAAGCTTCATATCTGCAGTTACTGGATGGTGCCACAGGTATATTAGGTCATTCTGTCATTTAGTTTCCAAACAACCTTACAATGCAGTAATTAGACTACAAAGTAGAGATTCCAAAACATACTTTGAACTCTGCCATTCCTGCAATCAGATGTCTAGTGTTTATCCTCTCTCTGGATCTGGGCTAACCTTGTCCATAGAGCACATGTCAGCTTGGTGGGACCAAGGCTCAAAACTGCCAAGAGAGGAAGGCCATATGGCTTCCACCTAGTACTTCTTGGACTCTTGCCCTGCAAGACAGCTGTCCATCCTGGAGTCACCAGGCTGGACAGGCCAAAGGCAGTGGCCCTGGAACTTCATCTGATGGCTAACGTCAGCATGCGATCTGAAGACACTTCCATGGAGGTGGAGAGGAGAGAGTGGCGGGAGGGGCGGGGTCTATCTTACTAAGACATTCCCACATCTATGGCTCACCAATTGTGAGCAAAATGAGGTGGTTGTGCTGGAGCAGATCTCTGTTGTGCAGGTGAAGGAGTCTAGGTGTCTCAGAAATCACACATAAGCATGACTAGCTTTCCTTTCTTATTATGGTAAATTCTAGCCGGCCATGGATTGCATAAGCACTTCCAAAGTTGCAGATTATGAACAACTCACAGAAACAGGTGTTCTACTTCCCTTTCTGTTGTGATAAAACGCTGAGCAAAAGCAACTTATGGGAGGAAAGTATTCATTTGGCTTACTTCACAGTCTGTGTTAGAATATTATTTTAACGTGTGTGGCTTTTGTTTATGCTGCACTTGTTTAACTCTGTGAAGCTGTAATTCCTTGCCGGTCTAAAACACCTAGTGGTCCTAATAAAGAGCTGAATGGCCAATAGCGAGGTAGAAGCAAGGACAGGTGGGGCTGGCAGTCAGAGAGGATAAATAGAAGAGAAATGAGAAAAAGGAAGAAGATAGAACAAGGAGAGGAGGACATCAGGGGCCAGCCACCCAGACAGCCATAGAGTAATAGTGAACAGTAAGTTTACAGAAGAAAAGGAAAAAGCTCAGAGGCAAAGGGTATATGGGTTAAGTTAAGAAAAGCTAGCTAGAAACAAGCCAAACTAAGGCTGGGCATTCATAAGTAAGAATAAGCCTCCTTGTCTATTTATTTGGGTGCTGGGTGGTGGGCCCCTCAAAAAACCAAGAGTAAAACAACACACTACAATAGTTCACCACTGAGGGAACCCTGGGCAGGAACTCAAAGGCAGGCCTGCTTGCTATTTCATACAGTGGTACTCCAACCAAGGAAATGCAGCAGTGATCATGGAGAATGTTTTCTTGATGGCTCTCTTCCAGATTTATGTTCAGATAACTTTTTATATCGCCCAGGGCCATTTGCCTGGGGAATGGTGCCGTCCACACTGGGCTGGACCCTCCTATATCAATTAATGAAGTCAATCCCTCACAGACAGGCCCATGAGCCAATCTG